GCACTATGCACTAGCTCATATCAAGCACGCATGCGAAAAATTTCAAATAAATTGAAAATTTTTAAATAATTCGAAAATTTTCGAATTTTTTTCGATAATTCGATTTTTTTTTTATTTAATCGAATTATTCGAAATTTTTCGAATTATTCGAAATTTTTTGGGTTATTCGATTTTTTTCGAATTATTCGTAGAATTTCGAATAATTCGAAAATTCAAATTATTTGACTCGAATTTCGAATCGAATATCAATATTCGATTCGAACGATATTCGCACATCCCCGCTGTAGGTATTGTTCGCTTTTTATAAAAATTATTAAATAAATTTAAAATAAAGATTCATTATTATTTTTAATACTAAACATTACATTTTTCTTTTAATAAACAACTTTAAGGGCCCCCTATATTGTTTAGCTCCAGGCCCCCTTGCCTTAATCCGGCCCTGTTAATCACATGCATTGGTAGAAAGTTTTGGGTCAAACCGGTGTAGAAAACCGGGCGCTATTATCCTCGTTACATATTTTTACCATTTGTGCACAAGTTTCTGGATTAAATAAAACTGGTAAGTTTTCTTCTTATTTTTTTACTTTTTTGTGTTGTAATAGCGGAAGTTAAATATATAAATACGCTTTTTTTTTCCTAGAAATATTATCCCACAACAATTATTTGTCAAAAACAATATTTTTTTGGTGTACTGTTTTTCTTATTGTCTTGTTTTTTTTTGTAGATATAGACAACGGACAAGAGCAGACAAGGCTGCTAAAGTTTTTTAAAGATGTACAAACCGATGATGAAGATAATAGTAAAATTATAATAATATTAATAATAATAGTTATACAATTTATTTAATAAATTAATTTAAACATAATTATGTTAACATGTTATTTTCTTAGTTATAAAATAAATGTTTACCAAAAAGAATATTTTACTTATATTTAAAATAAAAATTCAATCCCGGTGTTCTGCCAAAACTTTTGCGCGAGTAATGAAAGGTTAAGTGGGTAGTACTCTGAGTATTGTAATATGTATATTGTGTTTGAAGAATGCTTATAAAAAGCAATTGTATATTAAGACTTAAGTTTTGAGAAAGGATGTATAATTTTTAAATTTGAATATTTTTTAGGCCAGTTCCTCCAAGAAGATGGATGTAATATGAATATTTTAGTACCTATGCCTACCAAGTTTGGACACTGCCTATTAAATACATTATCAGTCATTATAATTGTTTTGTTGAAATACTATAAATACTAAAAACTTGTTAAATATAGATTTCTTTTGTAATAATTTCGATTTTTAATTGGGTTCCTTGTCCTGCCTGAAATAGTTACCATATATGTATAAATAAATCTCCTTAGGAATTTTTATTTCCAAATGGATTTAATAAAATGTGTTCATTTTAGAGGATATTTTAGGTAGCCAATCGATTAAAAATTGTGTAATGTAAATACTTTTAATTTTTAAAGTATAATGATTTAGCATTTCTATTCATTTCATTTAATAAGTCAATATGTATATTACGATATTAATATTACTATATTAATAAAGCATTTATTAATGTTGATATAATCAGCATATAAGTGGAACATATTCATACAATATGTACCTACCTACACTAATTAAATCAAAATACTCTTACTTAATATCGAATCCAATTTCAAATTTACATACCAATCTATCAATATGATATTGCGAAGGTACAAAAATTATTTATTATTTTAAGTTTGTGGAATAAATTATTTTTTTATCACAATTTTAGTTGAAATCTTGACTTTAATCTTTGAGTTAATCGATTCTGGTATTTAAGGGTCAACATTGGTTTCCATCGACCTCAAGATACTTGATTTTGGTCGGAGAACGAGATTCTCGTTTATTAAGCAACATCTTACCTTTGCTAAATTAAAGGAGGGTTCGAAATTAAAACTAATTGACATCGCAAACGAAGTTACGGCTCGATTCGGTTGAAAAATAATTTCGATCGATTTTAAAAAAAGCACCTTGGTGCTTTATCTGCAGCTAAAGATTTAAGTAAAAGACAAAAAGTTAATGAATCATTATATATAATATATGTTACAATTAATTAATCATTATTCAACGGTTATATATACATTTATAAAAGTTGTAAAGGCATTAAAAATTAAAAAAAATTAATAGGAATATAAATAAGAATTTTATTAGAAAATTATAAACCTTTTAAAAATATGTATTTTAGTGAAAAATTATATAAATTGTTATAAATTTCACATTAAAAAGATAAATTTAATAAAATATAAATTTAATGAAAAATAAAATATCCTTTATAAATTATTATATGTATTATAAATTATAATACATTATATTTACAACACACCAATCAAATTAAATAAAATAATGGTAAATTAAAGTACAATATGAATAGAGTATTATTTTTTTAATTTTATTTTTATTATTATAATGTGCTTTTAACAGGCATCTGGTATGAGGCGCCGTTTGTCCGTAAATTATTTTTGCTATATATAAAAATATTTTTTATATATAAACTTTAAATTTCCTATTTATATAGAAACTTTTTAGTTCAGATAATGCTGCTTGAGAATGAGGGCGCTTTGCGGTTATCAACAAAAAAGCACTGTTGCCAGAGTGTGCCAATGCAAAGTTTTGGTCAGTGTTTCCAACATAACAGATCTTCCACCAGATCTAGCGGAACAAAATGATAGCAAAAAGTATAGGATTTTAGTTTTTTTTTAAATACCCATAGGTAATAATATTATATATAATAATAATTATAATAATATATTATATTGGTCAGTTGGTCTATTTTTATTGAAGAGAAAATTTCTCTTCTTTGGTCGCCTCTAATTCTCTAAATACACACGGCTTCGGTTTTACTAATATGTATTTAAAAAAACTAAAATTTCTTACCTATTGCTTCTCTTGTCAATTTAAAAAAAAACAAAGAATTTAAAAAAGTAAAAATTGGACTCTTACAAATTAAATTATATAGGTAAAAATCTTATGACAAATACCATTCGATATTATGTTCAATTTTCCTGGCGTTATGTTGGAAACACTGACCAAAACTTTGCATTGGCACACTCTGGCAACAGCTGTTGCACTAGTGTTTTTTAGTTGATAACCGCAAAGGGCCATCATTCTCAAGCGGCATTATCAGAACTAAAAAGTTTCTATATAATATAGGAAATTTAAAGTTTATATATATAAAAATTATATATAGCAAAAAAAATTTACGGATAAACGGCGCCTCATAATCTGGCCTAATTATTTGAAACGAGATACTTTTTTCTTTGCATTGTTGTTTTAAGCTCGATTTCTATGAAATCCTCAAAATAATTTTAGGTTTTTTAATACTAACCAACAAATATGGTATCCAGATTTGAATATTGAGTGTTTTTTTTTTTAAATATTTTTTTTGAACTTGCCACAATGCTCCATATAAACTGTTATAAGTTTAATTCATTAGAGAAAAAGGAATGGATACCTAAATGAAAAAATATTTTGTTTTTTACATTATCATGTATGAAATTTTTAAATTATAATAGTATGGAACAAAGAAATAAACAAAATACTAATTTACTTGCGTATTTTTATATACCTACAAGGTTTTTGTAAAAATCGTGAAACTTTGAATTTATGCAAGTGGTATTTAAGACATATCTAAAATGTTCTGCTAGATCTAGCAGGACATTTTAGCGATTCACTAAAAGTGAATTTATTGCTTTGCAATGCGCATGCCAGAGTGTTTTTGCTGCCAGGGTGTGTAAAATGATTTAGTTTTTCGGAGAAAAAACATAAATATAAAAAATGGAGGTTTGGGAAATTAAAACAAAATAAATCTAAATTTGGCAATATTATGTTTCTTTATAAAATCTAAAAATTTCACAAAAATTTTGAAAAAAAAGGCTTCATTAGTTAGTTTTTAAAAACGTTATAATCGTCTGGAAAAAAATAAAATATGTAAGTATTTCCCAAACTGCTATATTAAGTAATATAAATTTGAGATTCCTTAGGTTAAAATTTGTACTTGTCAGTTATTTGCACTCCCCTGGCTACGGCCCAGGCATGCGCATATTAAACATTTGCCTTATAGTAGTAGGTATGTTAATCTTTAGAGGCAGAATATGATTTTGGGACTTGGCTTTTTCTCACTTCTCCACGATTATGGACTTTACCGACTTTATGATTAGCTATTGTTTTTATTATGAAGTCTATAAATTCTAACTAAAAGCAATCGATTCTAGGCATATACTATATGTAGTTTATATAACTTGGCATATTTATCTTATTTTGCTAAATTTTGGACTTGCCATAATTCGGCTCTGGGGTACAGTTATGTTAAATTTTCAATTTGTTGACTAAATTTGTTATGTTAAACGAACCCTTTAAAAATAATTTTAATTAATTGTTATAATATTATAATCTTAATTAAATGTAGAAGTATTTTAAACCCAACATTTCCTTATTTTAAAAATAAATATTTGATGAATATCAAGATTTTTACTACTTTGTATTTAAGTAACCAAAAACACAACATTCTCCACTAACAAATTAATCATAAAACATAAGTTTTAATAAAATACCGCGTATTGTTATTAGTCAACAATGCGTCGGGAATAATTATTTTAATACAATTAACTAAGTAATTACAAACGACTAATAAAATTATACTTTTTGTTTTTAGAACCAATAAATTTTATATCACGGATTGTTAAAGTTTTATGTTTTGATTGACAATATTTTATTTGTTAAACAAGTGCTATTTTCTTAATGCATCGCATTAAAATGAAACATATTTGTAATTACTCGAAATGATGGAAATTACTTTTGCACGAAATTCAGAAGGTTATTTACATTACCAGTGATACACTTTTATATGTCAAATAAAATAACAAGGATATTTTCCTTTACCTTCATAAATAAAGAAAGTGGTTTTGCATAGAACAATTATTTCGCACGTTGGTTATATAAAAGCAACTCAAAATTTTGGCACAGCATCAGTTTATCAATAACTTGAGATCATTAAACAATAATGGCATTCAAAGTAAGTTTTTTTAAATAAACCCTTTAAATATTTAATTAAACCTTTTCAGTTTGTTATCTTCGCCGCCGCTTTGGCTTACGCCAATGCTGGTTTCCTGTCTGCTCCAGCTGTAGCTACTTATGCTGCTGCCCCAGCAGTCCACTACTCGGCCGCTCCAGCCGTGAGCTCCTCTTACATTCACCAAGCATCCGCTGCCCCAGTATTTTCTACTTATGCCGCCGCCGCCCCAGTAGTATCCCCTGTGGCCGTCGCACATGCCGCTCCAGTTGCCGTCCACGCACCCGCCTTTGGATCTTCTCAACAAAATGTCATTCGTTCCCTTGGAGGCGCTCAAGCCATCTCCACCTACTCCAAAACCTTAGACACTCCATTCTCCAGCGTACGTAAATACGACACCCGTATCACCAATGATGCTCTCTCTGTAGCTCACGCTCCAGTCGTATCCACCTACGCTGCCGCTCCAGTAGCCACTTATGCTCATGCCGCTCCCATCGCAACCTACGCCCATGCCGCTCCAGTAGTAGCCAAGGCTGCTTTGGCTTACTCCCCAGCTGTAGCTGTGTCCCACATGACCTTCTCTGGATTGGGAACTTCTTACGCCTACTAGACTGATTGCAATTATTTATTGTAAAAATTATTTATTTGAAATAAAATGCTGTTGAAAATTATAAATTAATTATAATTTATTTAACCTAGGGGAAAAACTTTTTTAATATAACTTAAACTGTCTAAGCAGAAGGAATGATAAAATTTACAAAAAATATTGGGTTGTATAACCTTAACTTTTTTATTTATTACATGTTTGCCATTTTGGACCTACAGTATTAAATAATACCTACAGATTTTCATGTAAAAAAAGGTCGCCTTGAGTCAAGGCCCTTGACCTTACCCGTTAAGATAGTTTTTTAGTAAAATTTATTTAAAGTTCGCCAATGACCTTGCACAAACATTTTTTAAACACCCTATTTCTCCAAAATAAAGCGGTTGCGGGCCTAAATTTAAATGAACTTTTTTTCTTAAAAGGGTTCAGCCCATTTAGTATCAGTCATGGATTAGAAAACAACATGTATAATATAGAGGAGCTCTAGCTCACTTAGGATTCCCATCTTGTACTATGTTTATATAATATTTATAAATATTTAAAGTAGATCTACCTCCTAAAACACCTTGTATATTGTTCTTGAGGATTCACATTCTATTTAAATATAAATAGATAAGGTAAGCATATATTAGTATGTTCTTCCTCTCTCCTAATAACTTCGGCAGATTCGTTTATATCTTTAAATTGTATGCTTAATTTAGGCAGCATTAAAAGTATACTGGAATTAGTTGCAATGGAGGATCTTGAAAATTGTTGCTTTTATTTTTTCTGTCCGAATGATCCATTACAACCCCATTTTACTATTAATTTCATAATTATTTGGCTTACTATTGTCATTATGTTTTGTTTTAATACCTATCTACTTTCATAAAAAAAATTAAATTCGGTAATAAAAATAATTATTATTTTGATTATTTTGACCAAGAAGACCCGTTTTTTATTTAGGGTTAAGTTTAAGCCCACAATAGTAGTACCTACTTATGGTTATTAGATGAAATAAGCCATAGTACTTTTGGGTTAAACTTCAGTTTCTCCTGTTCGGCAACACTGATTGCACATTTCTGTGTCCGTTATTTTCCAATTTTTTTTTTTTACTTGGGGATCATCTAAATTATTTGTTTAAAGTTGTTTAAATACAAAAATCTAAACACTCGGGACCCTGATATTTTGCCAGTCCAAACTATAGTTGATCGTATTAATGGGGGTGATAAAGAAAAATTAATTTTTAAGATCAAGATTTTACAAATGAGGAATGTCCAATAATATACGAAGATGCAAAAAATAATTTTTTATTTAATAAATATATATTTACAATTTACACATAAATTACCAGGCGTAAGAAGCTCCCAATCCTGAAAAGGTCATGTGGGATACAGCTACAGCAGGAGAGTAAGCCAGAGCGGCCTTGGCTACTACTGGAGCGGCGTGAGCGTAAGTGGTGACTGGAGCGGCGTGAGCGTAAGTGGCAACTGGAGCGGCGTGAGCGTAAGTGGCGACTGGAGCGGAATGAGCGTAGGTAGCGACTGGAGCGGCATGAGCGTAAGTGGTTACTGGAGAAGCAGCGTAGGCAACTGGGGCAGAGGAACTTTTGTGTACGTAGGAAGAGCTTACGGCTGGAGCGTGTGCTACAGCTACTGGAGCTACATGAGCGTAAGTGGCTAATGGAGAAGCAGCGTAGGCAACTGGGGCAGAGGAACTTTTGTGTACGTAGGAAGAGCTTACGGCTGGAGCTTGGGCTACAGCTAATTGAGCAGAATGAGCGTAGGTGGCTACTGGAGCGGCGGCGTATGTGGATACGACTGGGGAGGCGTGGACAGCTACTGGAGCAGATGAAGTTTTGTGGATGTATGAAGAGCTCACGGCTGGAGCGGCAGAGTAGTGAGCTATAGCTGGAGCAGCAGCAAGGTAACCAGCATTGGCGTAAGCCAAAGCGGCGGCGAAGATTACGAACTGAAAAAATAATCATCCATTAGGCACAAGAAAATATATTAATAATTAAAACTTACTTTAGCTGCCATTGTTGTGAATTGTTTGATAGTTATGTATTAACTGATACTTTAAAAAATAATGGGTTGCTTTTATACACCTGGTCAGGTAATTATGATTGGCGAAATTACTATTTGATCCACATTTTGCCCACTTTAATATTATATGAAGGTCTAGGTTATTTTTTTTCTTACAAAATTTATGCTTGTAGTTTTCGCAATGTTTATAATTAATTAATATCAATACCTTCATTTAAAATTAGTTTTATTTTTTAATATGAGAAAGGGAAGTTAAAAATATAATAGGTATATGTATGATGTGAAAGTAAAATATGTGTTCTAAATGCCACCGGTATGGATCACGTCCTTTTTATATACCTAGTTAATTCGGTTAAAAATAATAACAAAATTTAACTCATAAGGAAATAGATTTGTTAATTTGTATAATTAATGTTACTTGGATACTAGTTTAAAAAAGGGAAATTTGGTTGTATTGTTTTTAGATTTTTAAGCTATTTTTTAGGACCTATGCCTAATTTTGTTCAATAAATCTTCACGAAAGTTCCGATTAATCGAATGTCTGGATTACCTAACCTAATCGATAATGGGCCCAAATATAAAAAAGTCGTGTTTTGGATAAAAAAATCTATGGATAAGTAAAAAAAGTACCAAAGTTATAGAATGTTTCCGAAATATCCGAATTTTAGATTAACACCGAATGACCCTTGGTCCCCTCAAGTTCGAATAATCGGGACCTAAGTACACGTTATTTAAATATAATTTTGTATAAGCTAATAAAATAAATGTTTATAAAATTTATTTTAAAATTTATTTATTCGGAAATTCTGTCGAAAATAAAGAAGATTAAAGTTTTAAAATATTTACCCGTCCTTAAATTTATCTTAAATAGATGTTTATTAAAATTATTGTTAGAAGTACCTAACCCTTTTTTGGTTGTATTGTGCATCTTATGATTGGAAAATATAATAAATTAAATCACAATTTTGAAATTTCTGAGTGAGGAATAATGGAGGGGATGAAAACGCAGCAAAATACAAAAATTGGGAAATAATACATGAGAAATTATGAATTATCTAAAGAAACAAACTCAATTTAAAAATATTTATATGTATATTTATATAAGAATAACGAATTCTAAAAATTTGGATTTTGTAATAAATAGTTATTTATGTATCAAGGCAGTAAAGTCGTATTTTGTATCACGAATGTGGAAATTATTTGCAGAGGCTAAAGCCGAGGCAAATAACCACGTGAGTGATAAAAAATGACTAATGCCGAGGTGCATATTAAATTTTATCCGAAATCACATTAAATAATACTAATAATTAATATTATATACTTATTATTATACATTATTATTAATATTACATTGATGATCAAATCAAATGTCATTTGAATGTAGGAAGTGTCTACGTATACTTACTGTTTGTTGCGAGTGTTATGATAATATTATATATATTATATTTGCCCGGCGCAGCGATGTTTTAATCTAATAAATAAAATTAACTTATTATTTTTATTAAACAAAATTTTATGAAAGGGTCCAATCTACCTCCGCCACGGTGCTTTTTTTAAAATATTATTTATTATTGCATACAATACTCGTATTAAATCGGCAGTAAAGTTTTACTTTACTGCCGATTTCTTTTACTTTACTGCCGATTGTTGACTACTTTACTGCTGATTTCGGATAAAATATTTTTATGGCCCATTTATATATTTTGCATTTATTATATTTCTTATATTAGCTATTTATTAAATAGCCATCACAAGATTTTTTCGGGAAGATTTAAGGCTCCATATAAGTAAAATACTATAATTTAAAAAAAATCAAAAATCTGGAGCAATGATAAAGTATTAAATAGTTTCTCAACGCCAATATTCGAAAAGTTTATATGAACATTGTACTGACCTTTTAATTTCGCCGGAAGTAAACTGGATATAACTTAAATTCGAGCTCGAACTCCACCGTGAAGTGTTCATAAAACATTTTCTTTACTTTTACTGTGAAAAACTGTTGTTAATCGATTTTCAAGGAATACATTTCGATTAATAACCTAAATAACATACAAAAATTTGACATTTGACGGTACCTAACCCAGACTCCTCTATTGTTTTATTGATGGCGCTCTATACAAATAATTGATGAAATATCAAATATCAATATTTGATTTAAATCATTTTAAGATAATAATAAGTATTTGTCGTAGAAAAAGAATAGTATAAAATGGCTTTTATCAAACTTGATACAAAATATACTATTATTTCTACCTTCTTATAAGACTACTATAGTAAATGGCATGTTATAGGTTAATTTTGTTGTTTTTGTAATTAAGTAAACGATTAATTATGGTAATTTTTTACGGGTTTGTTTAAAAGACCTGTAAAATTTAACAGGCTTGTGAAAAGCAAATAACGGGTCTGTTTCCATAATTTATCGTTTACTTGGTTACAAAAACAACAAAATTAACCTATAAAATGTAATTTACTAAAAAGGTAAAAGTGAAGTTTTCAATTTAAAAATCGCCCTATGAAAGTAAAAATAAAACATTAATTACAATTGTAATTAATGTTTACTAGGCTTACTGGATTATGGGGCTCGTTCCTGCGTCCTAAACTTAATCACAGAAACACACAATTGTGTGCTATTAATAGCAAGGGTAACAAATTCAATGAACGAAAGCGCTGAGAATAAAGAATATGACAAAAAGAAAGGGAGGGGGGAATTTTTATGGCTGTCATTCGATGAAGCGGTTATCTAGCTTAAAGAATAATGGGTTTGACAAGATTTCTAACTAACTTTCTAAATCTGACTTTTGACTGTTTTTTTTTAAATACTCCCATGTGCGTCGGTCATCTCAAAAACTTCCAGCTCGCCCGTAAAGATTAATTTACAAAGCTTGATACGTAAATACCTATAGGTATATAGGTAAGTAGTAACTATTATAGGGCGGATTTGAATTAGTCAAGGTAAAATCATTTAAAATGTTGTCTAAATATTATGAACCAAGTTGGTTTTTATTTATTTTTTATAATTAAATTAACAATTAAATTTTAAAAAGGCCAAAGGTATTAAATCTGATTCGGTTTTTTATATATATATGTCAAATATAATATCCTTTTAACCCAGACCTTCATTAAGATGGAAAGTGGTTCAACTTAGAAGTTCATACCTACTGAAAAATCATAAAGGTATAAAAGCACGCATTTTTTAAAAACTGCATCAGTACCAAACTAAAAGACCACATCACAACAAAAATGGCTTTCAAAGTAAGTTTTATATTAACTATATTTTACTTAATAATTCTAATTCAAATTTTTTAGTTCGTTATTTTTGCCGCCGCTTTGGCTTACACCAACGCTGGTTTCCTTTCTGCCCCAGCTGTGGCCACTTACTCTGCTACCCCAGCAGTCCACTACTCTGCCGCTCCAGCCGTGAGCTCCTCTTACATCCGCCAAGCTTCTGCAGCCCCAGTACTTTCCACTTATGCCGCCGCCGCCCCAGTTGTATCCACATACGCCACCGCCCCTGTAGCCATTGCCCATGCCGCTCCAGTTGCCTTTCACGCTCCAGCCTTCGGATCTTCCCAACAAAATGTCATTCGTTCCTTTGGAGGCGCCCAAGCCATCTCTACCTACTCAAAAGCCGTAGACACTCCATTTTCTAGCGTACGCAAATACGACACCCGTATTACCAATGATGCTCTCTCTGTAGCTCACGCCCCACTCGTATCCACCTACACCGCCACTCATGCCGCTCCCATAGACACCTATTCTCATGCCTCTCCAGTAGTAGCCAAGGCTGCTTTGGCTTACTCCCCAGCTGTTGCTGTATCCCACATGACCTTTTCCGGATTGGGAGCTTCTTACGCATACTAGACTGATTGTATGATACAATTTGTATCAGCAAATTATTTATTTATTTATAAAAAATAAACTTTGCTATGTAATAGGTATTTTATTTAACAATTATTTGCCAAAATAAAACAAATTTTATAATATAATGGTTTATTAACATACATAAAAAAACATTTATATCAATTACCATGCGTATGATGTAATGGGGGAAGTGTATCTAACATGGGACACAACTGGGCCTGAACCACGAACCAAAGTTGCCACTGGTGTCTGTAAACTGGGACCATGGCTTAAAGTTTGAGCAAATGGTTGGGCATAACGTTGAACAATGGGACCACTAACTAAAGACCCATGAGCCACTGGGTGAGCTAAACGCTGAACTATTGGAGCGGTTTGGATTGCGGATACTATTGGCTGATTATATAGTTGGATTAGTGGAGAAGATCCAATGGGTTGAGCCTGGGCATATCTTTGCACAATTGAAGAAACTGGATGTAAATGCAAATCATTTGTGATTCTTGTATCAAATTTGCGAACACTGGAATATGCGCTATCCAAAGATTTAGAATATTGCGATATTGAGCCTCCAAGTGGTGATCTTATAACGCTTTGGTGGGATTGTCCTTGGGTTGGAAGGTATCCTAAAGATAGCTGAGTTGAAATAGGGACTGATTGTCTAATATTTGGTAAATATCCTGTCGACAATTGTGCAGTAACTGGAGCTTGATAAGCAATTGACGCTGGTTGTGGATGAGCTATTGCCACTTGAGCTGGGAGTGCTTGATTAAAGTAAGAGGTGCTTACGTCAGGAGCTGATGAATATTGTATTACATCACTGGGTAGAAATCCTGCATTAGCAATCGCAAGTGTAGCAGCGAATAATACAAACTAGAAGAATATAAATTCATTAATATTTAGTAATTTACCTTTGTTAATAGTTTTATTTGCTTACTTTAATAGCAATAGCCATTGTTTTACTTAATGATGTGTACTGATACTAAAATTAATATTGGGCGTCTTATATACCGTTTAAGATGCATTTTAACAAGTGCATTTTGGGCGTGTAATACTTTCCCTCCCTAAATTTGTATATATCGAGTAGGTACCAAAGATGCAGATTTATGGTTAACAAACACGATTACGAAACTTGACAAAAATATTAGGGCATTTGGGTCTCGGTCGCACTTCGTATAAGGCATGCACTGCATCCAATGCAGTTTATACATTTTAATATACACTGAAAGAAATATATGTTTGTTTTAGCAATGTTTGTGGTTCATATATGGACTACCACATACATTGCTAAAACAAACATATATTATATTTAGTTTTAACATAATATGTTAAAACTAAATATAAAAATGGTTAAGGTAAATATATTATATGTTTGTTTTAGCAATGTATGTGGTAGTCCATATATGAAACATAAATTTCTTTCAGTGTACATTTTGTTTATAAACCGGTACTAATAAATTAATATTATTATAACTAATATAGGTACTATACCTATCTAAGGTCTTATATATAAAACTTTATAAAAATGTCGTATTTGTTTCAATAATTTAACATCAATGCTCACTAATACCGACTGATTCTATATTTTCCAAAAAGTCCTATTAATAGCAGGGTCAGAATTTCTCAAACGGGCCACCTGAATTAGGTCAAAATTAGTTTTTGATTGTAGATACATTTCTTCGATAGTATTTTACATCACTAACACAAATCCTAAAGGATTTTGTAAAAAAAAAAATTTCAATTGACATATTCATGATATTAAAAGTAAAAGTTTTTAGTAATTAAAAAATAAAAAAAAATCATTATGGCTAAACTAATTATCCGATTCCAACGATTTAACTAGCGTTGGAATCTTGTTTTGACATAGATTCTTTGTTATTTTTTTCAATTGTACAATTTTCATTTAGGTCGATTTTTTTTTGTTTTTTTTATAACAAATTCGGAAATAATTGGCTTCTGCGCCAGCTATCGACTCGAAAAAAAAAACACATATACTCCAATCATTTTTCGAAATTATGCTGCTGAGAAAAAAAATGGCCCGCAGGTTCCAGACCACCGTAAGACGTCGCGTCACAAGCGCGTACAGCGTACACGGTTCGGAGCGTGAGCTGACACCGCGCGCGGCCACAAAAGGACGAATAACTTTTTGTATTTTGTATTTTTATTTCTTCCTTGTGTTCCTTCCCTATTTCAGATTAACCCTATAAGTTTTATTTCTTTAAAGTTTATTTTTGTTATTTATAAACTTATAGAATTTTTCTGCAGTACATTACACTGTTCTATCACAAAGGAAAAACAATCGATCAAATTGACCTGCCTGGACAAAATATATATACCAAATGTACATTTAACGGTTTTCGCACAGTGGGGCAAACAATTGCTCACAACAGTTTCCGAATTTCAGCATACTACAAGACCAGCAAAGATAGGTCCTAGAAACGTACTAACTAACCAAACCTCATTCATGAACTCCAAATAAATGGGGGCATTACTAAATCCCTGGTTAAGGAGGATTCCGGATTGTACTTAGTTTTGGGTCAGTCCAATGTCACCCAAAAACCAAAATGTTTTCCCTTCTTGTTCCGTACTCCACTAGCCTAAATCTGGCGTATGGCCCGGCCCGACGAAAAAATTCCGGGAGCGGCCTTAACCATCAAAACTGTCATCCTCGACCTCCTAGACGTTGCCGATGGGGCCTGCCATACGTTCCTTATACTCATACTCATACTCAATTTTAATTTTATGTTAATTATTTTCTTCGTTTCAAACTCACGTGCGCGTGCTTATTAAATAATTAAAACAATAGGTTGTAAATATTTCTTTAATAAATACCTACTTGCGCTTTTATCAAACGTCGCGCCCCCTTGTAACCTCGCGCCCCTAGGCACGTGCCTAGTTTGCCTTAGGGATAATTGAATTTGTACGTATTTATATAATTATAAGGTACCTTTAAATATTATACTACTTTGTTACCTTCACTTTTTAATTTAATATATTTTTTAAACTATATAATTTTAAAAGTAAATATTGAATACGCGCCACTGCTTTGCCAAACACGTGTTAAACTGAACTTGAAGGGCGGTACCATTACGAAATTACGTCAACTGAGCATAGGGCGTTTTTGACAAGTTATAACGCGCGGACTGTATCTTCTGTGGCGAACATTCCATTACCCGAATTCTCTGCAAAAAACATCCTGTTCGCCTTGAGCGGATTCAGCAACAAAGAAATTAACTCTACATTGCTGCCAACCCTCCTTCCGGTTCCTCCGCCATTACTGCATTACGCACAGGAAATAAACTCCGGCCACTTCAGACAATACGATTTCGGCATGATTGAGAATAAGAAGGTTTACAAAACTTTCTCGCCACCCGACTACAAGCTCGCTTAAGTCACTACTCCAGTTTACATGCTTTACAGCAACAACGATTGGTTGGTTGCCGAGAAAGACGTCGTCGACGTTGTGCGACAAAATGGGAAATTGCAAAGGGACGTTTTTGATTTCCATTAAGGCTTACTGTAGTTTATGTAATAATAAACAATTTAAAAAATATATAAAATATTAATATAAAAAAATATAATTATATAACAGTATGACTAAGGTATTTTCTTAATGGATTGTCAAATAACGGATTATAAAATCAACAATGTTACGTAATAAGTTCAGAAAGAATGTTAAAATGACCCTACAGAAAGTTTCAACAAAGTATTTTTATAGCCACTTAAAAAACAAAAAAAATTAAAAAAATTAAATTGCCTGATATTTATTAAATAGAACACTATATTTTATTTTTTTAATTAATTAATGTTTTTGATTTTTTTTGTTTTTCTGATATCTAATGCATATAAAAAATAAATCATCTTTACCAATTCTATTTTTGCGTTGATTAACCATTAATTATACATAATAATAATTCTACATATACATGGTGATTGTTCACAATCACCATGTATAAAACAAAATTTCTGGAATAATAATACATATCGGTGTAACGAAAAAAAATAACTGCTGAAATATACGTACTTTTGCAAAGCACAGGCTTTAGGGGAATTACCCAATTTAGGGGAATTACCTTGTATAATCCTCACAATTTATAGTTACGCCATTGGTCAATAGATGGAAGACATGGTATCGATTATTTTAATCTAACAAGGCCATCCTGTACTTGGCATGTCCTCATGCCAATGCAATACCAAATCTTGCCAACAATAACGTACTTGCCTGCCAAACAAAGTTATGCCAACTTATACGATATATCTAGAATAAAAACAGTTGGGGCTCCCAACTGCTCAACTATTTACTATTGCTCTCAAATCACAAAATAGTATAAACACTACAAAATTATCCTGCAAATGGCATGTTCTCATGCGAGGCCCTGGCAGCCAGGGTAACTTACCCCCCTTGTAGTTTCTTATTATCATAGTTACTCATTGTATATATAATATTTTTATATATAATATTATTAGGGTTATATAACATTTATGGCAATCACTATAAAAACAAATTTTTTATTGGGATGCATCTGTCAAAGGATCCAATTCCAGTTTCGCAGGTTTTGAATTTGTCGCATCGAGGACGAAAGAAACTTGCAACTTTTTTAAAACAAGGTCACTACTTGGATTTGGGCGTGAAAGTCACTTCTTACTGTAAACAGCAAGAGTAAACTCTTATATACAGGGTGTCTATTTAAAAACAAACAATGCTCCATAAGTCTAGACCTAAAAAGATATAAAAAATTCCCAAAACCGTTTCTGGGATATGTGGGGAAAATCAGTATGAACATAAGCAACCCCTGGGGGTTGTATAGATGTGACCTGGAAATGAATCCATGCATGGAGTTGTCACACATGGATGCTTCAATACGCTTCGTTGAACCTGGATGCTCCAGTGCACCCGGATAAAGTATAAATATCTATCTACTTTATTTATTCAGTATTCACCTGAAGAAGAATGAATTTACTTACCACTGGTAAGTTACCAGTCGAAACTACGATATTTTTGTTTTTTCCCGAGAAAATCAAAAATTTACGTGACTTTTTAAACACACCTCGTACATATCATATATCATGTAACATAATATGTATATATTATAATAAGTTTATGGTGACTTAATAATTATTGTGAATTTAAAATTTTTACAATCTGTACAATGGGTAGGTATTATTGCATGTCGTCTGGGCGTTCCTGACTGGTTTAAGAACATGTTCGATAAATTTACGTAATAAGGCTTGCATTTCATTGTGAACCTCAAAATAAAATGTGGACCACTTTCAATCTCGGTGAAGGTCTGGGTTAACTTCTTTATTGCATGCTATTACATTAATGCGTTTATAATTTATTATTTAAAATTTATAACACATCGAGTATAACATTTAGTGTAACAACGTTTTTATAGATTTTCAATTAAAACCCTTATGCTTAGGCAAGTTAAAATAAGAAAGGCAATGTTCCACTTGCAAAATAAATTTATAATATATTTCAAATTTTCTTAAATTAATCTGTTCTTAACCAAATTGACGAATTTGCTGATATCTATGCAGTGTCAGAAATTTATTAATTTCCTATATGTATGGAAGAGACGAAAGTATTGTGGATTCATCCCTAATTAGGGTGGAGTGAATTTTTTTTGTATTAATTTTTAAAGCCTATACATGCAAAAGTTGTATTTAAAGCCACAAAATTTGTGTGCAAAATTTAAGTTACATTTGAAGTCATCTTTAGGTTCCTAGAAAACGCCAAAGTTTTAAAATTAATAAAAAATTGGGTGGGGCTTAAGCCTGATTTATAGATTGCCTTCCTTCCTTCGCCCCTTCCTCCCGTAAAAGATATACAATACGAAAATCCTGGGGACGTTTAAGAATTCCCGTACCGGAATTTATAAACAGCACAACGGTTTTTGTTTTGTTCATCTTTTACGGGCTTTTTCAGGCTTTATGGCATAAATGAGTTTAACG